TATATAGCTTAGGTAGTTGGTTCACTTGCTTGGGCGGAAAGCTGTAAACCGACGATGCTCATCTGATGAATAAAAATAGATAATAAGAAGTAATTAATGTTGCATGGGTTATCATTAAGATATTTACATCCACTTAGTAATTAATATAGCTTATAGCTTAGCTGTTGATGTGACAAGTAATTGTTGTTTTAATTAAGAACTAGTTATTCCACTACCTATTGTTATCTGCATTAATTAATTTGTGGTTGTGGAATATCCAAGCGCTGGATTAGGCGTAGATATCCGGTAGCTATATTATAAAAAATGAGAATAATGATCATAAAAAATATTTAATAAATATACCACATACCTACATAATCACAAAGGAAACTTTTGTTACCAAAAAAGTGGAATCGTTGTAGGTAATATTCTCCGGGAGTAGTAGTTTGAAAAGGAGAGAGATCTCCACCAATTATATGATTCCATGACTTGTAATAACCCAAACCATCATCTTTATCTTCATCTTCATCATACACAAGACTCACCCCACACTCCATTCTTCTAAAAAGGCCATCATGATCTGCCGATAGGGAAATAGTAATTTGGTCACCATCTTCCATCTCATTCTTCCCAAACATCCAATGGCTTAAATATGTTATACCCTCCCTACTTCCCTTAAACCCCTCTGAAGTATCATAGATCCAGGTGCACATCTTTGTTATATTACTAATCTTTATAGATACAAAATACATGAAGAACCATCTATCAGTTGTAAGCACGAAGAAGAGATTCAAGCCTCTAATGTTGCAAGGAGATGATGGGATGGTAAATGAGATTGATGTCCCCTTCCACATTCTATCACTTATCCAATTTGGCATCTCTTTCCCCATATACCATGTGCCGAATATCCCAAATTCATAAACCATCTGCCAAATAAAAGCTTCATTAATCATTAATTATATCTACATATTAATCACACAAACAAAAATAATTAATGAGAACAAACCTTGACACTTTTTTTTTACAGCTCCTTCATCTGTCAGCTGAATTTTGGTGAAGTCTAAATTAATTAAATGACTCCACCCCAAACTACGTAATACCTTTTCCTCAACGTCTCTCATATCTTCCTCTTTATGAATGCCTTCAATATTTTCCCAATCATGTGCAGCCACCCTATAGTTTAACAGGACTGGGGACATTTCTCGATTAAATGTAGCTTCCCCATCTCTATCAAAATCAAATCTCAGTTCTTTTAGTGTAGGTGGAGGATGCTCCAATGACTCCAGTCTATCATTCTCACCAATACCAAGTATCTCAATCCTGGAAAGGCTTCTCACCCAATTGGGCAGTGAAACGAAAAAATTTCTATCTAAATACAACTCCTTCAACATGGATAGGCTACTCATGTCTTTTGGAAAAGATTCGTTGGACAACTTACAATCTTGAAGCTGCAAGCATACTAATGAGCTTGGTAAATAAATCAGATAGGACTTGAAAGCTCTTGGTATAGCCTCCACAATGGTAGAGGAAGAGGTTTGTGAGTTCATACCAAGGTTGTTACAGTTGAGCGTTTCCTCCACGTCATCCCCCATCTCGATCATAGTTTCACCAAGATTACAACCATCTAATTTTAGTATTTTGACTTTCTTTACCTTGTTTATCGTTTTTAAAAGCTTCCCAACGTTATTGCAGTAACTCAGATCAATGAGGTCAAGTCCATCACATTGCTCAATCGACTCACAAACCTCGATCAAACTTGAGCAATTTGAAAGTATTAACCTCTCAAGTGCAGGGAATTCAGAAAATCCACCAAGACTCTGAAGCTGTTCACAAAAACTCAGATTAAGAATCTTCAATGATCGAAGTAACTGTTTGCCTTTTGAGCATGAGCTGCTTAACTATGCAAATGGAGATAAGGTAAAATAATTAGTGAACTACATAAAACCACCATAGAAGTAACAAAAATTAAAGTAGATGCTAGAAGTTTCTTACCTTTTGCCTCTTCCCAGGTTGTTGTGGGTTACCATCAGACATGTCAAAAGATTCCAAATTGCTGTAAGACATGTCAAGCACAACCATATTCTCCATTGGTAGGTCTAAAGGTAAAGACTTCAAAGAGAACCCATGCATACACAACCATCTTAATTTTTTAGGGAAATTCTTATAAGATCCATTGAATTTCACAAAATTGAGTTGTAGTAGCATTAGATTATCCATCTTACTCAATGCATTTGTTTCCAACTCAAACGATTCATATATGTCCTCTTTCTCAAGCATTTCCATATCGAGAACGAGGCCTTTAAGTTTTCCCGAACCCTAATAAGAAAGTGAATGTCAAAAAACTAAAGAAGTCTTTATGTATGTGTAGATAGATAATACGGACTACTTACAATTTGCACAATTCTGACAAGTATACATGGCATCTTACCTTGTTTTTATCCAACACATTGAATGATTCCTCATGACACCATAATCGACTGCGCTTCCATGGTTTCTTTGGTGATTCTTGGCGTACTATATCTCTTCCCATCTCTTGAACCAATTGATGCATCATCAACTGGTTATTACTATCAATCGAAAGAAGGCATCTATCAACGAGATTCTTGATCCCAAGTACTGTGCGGATCTTACATGCCTTCAATATTGTTTCAGTTGATTCTCTATCTTTTCCAGCAAAAAAACAAGCAATGTGCTTAAACAATTCCTTGTCATCTGTAGATGGTAAAGAGTCGAAGCTCATTTGCAAGACCTTCTTGATACGAGAATCAGGTTCTTCCTTTAGCCTTTCTAGGCAATCCTCCCATTCAGCTATATTTCCATTAAGTAGAGACCTGCCCAAAACTGAAAGAGCCAATGGATGTCCTTTACAATATTTCACAAGCTCTTTTGAAACCTCTTTGTAACCTTCCTTCGGACTGCTGCACTTGAAGGCATGAARACATAAAAGCTCCAGTGACTGAGTCTCATRYAAGGCTTCGAGTAAGTRCTTTGTATGCTTGGGTTGAACTTTAAGGTTGAATAGCTCACACTTTTCTGTCAACGAYGCGTCCTTGGTCGTTATTATGATTTTGCATCCCRGATGAAAACCTTTGTTTCCAAGTAATGCATCCAATTGACTGAAACTATCAACATCATCAAGAACTAGGAACACCTTTTTATTTGCTAGTGTATTCTCAATTTGAGAGGTGTATATAGAAACATCATGGACTTGAATTGAGCTTTTATTTGAAATGTCACCACAAATTTGTTTTTGTAAATCAAGCAATCCAGTCAATTTTTCAGCACATCTCCTACTGATATCTTCTGCAAAGCTGCTTCTTTGGAATTCACGACAATGCAAGCGAAAAAGATATTTGGCCAAAGATGTCTTCCCAATCCCACCCATGCCTACAATTGTGACAATTTCAGCACAAGTAGAGGATCCATCTTTCAACCAATAAGTAATGAATTTGATGTGGTGGTCCATGCCGATAAGAAATGGTAGAGTCACTTTTAAGGGTACACCTAATCTACGATGAATTTCAGTAACAATTTCTKGAATGAACTCCGTCTCTTTCCTGAAATTTGAAACATCAATGTGAAAACCAAACAAATCAGATTCATCACATTTTGCTACTATTTTTCAATTATGTTTTTTTTGCCAATTTATGTGATGTAAGAAAGTTGTACACTCTTTTGGTCATTAATGAAAATATCAAGTTTCTCTCTCATACTTCTAATATTTATTACTTGAAGTAGATGTATTTTAGTAGCGACTAAAATACCCATTTATATATATATACACACACAAGTATGTTATTTTGCTACCTACAATATCTTACCAAGCGTTCTTTACTTAGAACAAGAAGCACATTTTCTTATTGATTTACTTTGATGATAAAATTCTTCCTACATGTGTGTGTGTGGGTGTTTCATAGGTGCAAAGAAAATTGAAAAATCGAAAATGATTATATAAATCTTGAGAGAGGGAGCAATAATTAACACATAGATGGTAATTAATTAATTAAGAAATATGAGGAAATAATCATTTCAATATTAAATCTCCTTATTATATATGTATCCTAAGGGCACATAATAGAAAAACCTTTCAAACATATTGAAAATAGACAAKAGATGTATATTTATGGCACTAAAGAAACCTATTGAATTGCACACGGTTCTGTATTTAAATTAATGTSTTCAAATTTSGGCAAGAAAGTTGTTACCGATTCTTWGAATTTTTTCCTTTTAAGTCAGCAATTTCCGTCAGTGCTTCATTCCATAGCTCCACTTTTTTAGCCCAATGACTTCGTTTCTTTGCATTTGTCTCTAGCTCCATCCTGTGCTTATGCTTTTCCATAGCAATTCCAAAGCTGTTTTGTTGCTTCCTGACATCGGTGGGCTCGACATGATAGAATATGGGAATAACAATATGACCAGAGGTCCTCTTTTGATCAAGGATCAGTACCAATTCATYGAGACACCAGGTCGAAGAAGCATAATTCTGAGACAACACAAYAATAGAAGCTCTGGATGTTTTGATTGCACTCTCCAGCTCCGGTTTCAAATCTTCTCCCGTTTCCATCTCTTCATCGTCCAAAAAGGTAGTGATATTAACATTGAAAAGTGCCTCGTAAAGATGATCGGTGAAATTATGGCGAGTGTCAAGACCCCTAAAACTTAAAAATACGTCATATCTATAAGCATGAGTTGAAGAAGATGAGCATATTTCAGAGAGAACAACCATTATGAATTATGGGAAGGTAGGAATGACCCGAGAGATGAGTAGAGACCTATAGRAGTAGGCTTAATGATTATACAGATAATAGTGGATCCAGCTAATAATGAATTTAATCAATAGTGGAAGCCCAAGTCAAGTCAACAATATCAAAAGCAAAGTGTTTTTATTAAAAGCAAACATGAATGAATTTAAAACGAAAAAGAATTCATGATGACATTCTGTCTCTGTAAATGTGAGAAAGATATCATCAGTATCACTTGCCATATTCTCATCATCTCCTAACAATTTAATGGATCCAATTCTGCTATATCTGTGAATGTAGCTTTAAAATTAAAGACAAGATTGATAAATAATATCATAATATGACAKTTTTGTCACATACTATAATTGGTAAGAATACAATAAATTGTACGTTAACATAAGCTCGTTATTGATAATTCATAACTTAACTCGTTATTGATAATTCATAACTTAAGTCTTATAAAAAGCTCACAAATTTCACTCTATCAATGCAGGACAGATGTAAGATTCACCTAAAATGTTTAAAAACAAATGACCATTCCCTGGAAGTCCGTCATTACTCATCACAACATTATCGGGTTTATAGGACGCCTAAAGTTTAATTGTCCTAATAGAGTGCTTTAGAGGACTTAAGTTTACATGATTAATGAATAAGATGTCATATGTTTTTAGAACATTTTTTAAAATAAAAAGTTGTATTAGCTATTTTATAGGATATTTTTTTGACAAATGTCTTATRAACCCATCTATTTATAGGACACTCATGTTTATAGAACACTTTCTCAAACAAAGTCCTATAAAATAGCTAATACGACACTATATTTTAAAAAATGTCCTAGAAAACTTATTACGATGCCTAAAAGCGGTAATATAAACTTATTGTAACACTTTTAGATAGGATGTTTTATTTTTTTGGTCCTATAGACTTAGGTCCTATAAGGCACTCCATTAGGATATTTCAACACTTTAGGGGTCCTAT